CTTGTTGGAGCAATAAAATGAAATGAGTTGTTTACAACAGGTGAATGAACTATCTATTATTGATGTATAATTAGTGTACATGACTTGCAGCAATTATCTGCTAAGATTTACAGGAGAATATGAAGGACTATCTACATGATTGTTGGCTAAGGCTGAGGAAGCAGTTTTTCTCCTTTGTAATATATATAGTAGCATTGTGTAAGATATGGTTGCTATATCTTAATACAAGAAAAATACACATCAGGACAAAGTATTAGTGATTAGGGGTTTTCAAAAGCAAGTACTTTTAGTAATGGATAAGAGACATAATACAACTCCTCAAAAGATATATTTCATCAAAATTAATATCTTTGTGATAAAGTTATGTTGTTTTTATATCTAAAATGAGAATAATAACTGCCTTGCTTTCATTATATAAGTGTAATTTATCTGATACTTGAAAGTTTTATGTAAGTTGGAGCTCCTTTTATTATTTTCCTTTATAATGTATATTCTTTTGGATCTATATTATATGAACAAATATCAAAAATTTCTACTGAAAATAAAAATATCCTATAAAGACATTCCCTAAGCTTGAATCTGAATTGATTCAAAGTTAATGATTTTATGGTGATTAAAAAACTAATAATTAGGAGAGAATAGTTAGTGCTTGTTTTATTGAAGTCTGTATACATTTTCTATACTCATAAAAGGATAAATGAGATCTGAAAATTACTTATGATTTGAGAATTGAAAATTCAAAGCAGCAATCAGTAAAATTCTCAAAATTGGAAACTTTAAGATAGGGTTCTAATTAAATAGACTATTTTGAAACTTAAAACATATCATTGAGCAAAAATAATCACATTTCAATCCAAGGGACTTTATAAAGTAATCGTCTTTGAGGAATTTGAACATGAGATTGTTTCTGAGAATGTAGCCACATGATTGTATTTAACTGAAAGATGAGTCTGTTTCCTTCAGTTAAGCCTTCAATTAAAATGTAATTTCATAGTCATTAAACTCAGAAACCTAGAACAATCCTCTAAATCTGATTCTTTCCAATGACCTGCCTAAAGAACATGAGTAATTATAAAATTTTCCAGATCTTGTTGACATTTCTGATTTCACTCCTGTCATTTACTCCTGCAGCCCATAAGGCTGGATATGAATTTTAAAGGGATGCAAGCCACACAGGATTAGAATATTGGGAATGGGATTTCAGCAGCAGAACATCCAATAATAAGAAAAATGACAGTAAATAAAACATAGAACTTCTCTTTCTTTTTGAAAATTATCGCCTATTCCAAGTAGTACCTTTCAACATCTAAGAACATATTTTAAAATATTTCATATATCAATTTTCAAGGTAATAAATTTTATTCTTGTGACTATTAAAATTATTTGCAAATATTTATAAATAGTTTTTTAATTGAATACAAATAATTATACATATCAAAACTTAGGATACAGGAAAGAAAGTGCATTTGTGTGTGTTCACACATGCACTATGTAAAAACAAAAACATTTTTGGAAGTGGGTAGTACTGGGGTGCTCTAGTATTGAGTTACATTCCCAGACCATCTTATTTTTTGAGACAGGATGTCACTAAGTTAATGAGGCTGGTCTCAAACTTGTGATTCTTCTTCCTCATCCTCTTAAGTCAAGGGAATTACAAGGCCTGCACCACTACACTTAGATGAAAAATATACTTTAAAAATAATTGTTAAAATGAATGTTAATACTATGTATAACTAATATTATATATAAGTAATAATTTTTTAATTATAACAAAATCTTATACTTCAATTTACTTTATGTGTCATGCTTATATCTGTTCTAGTACAAAATACATTCAAACTTTAATTATAAATGTGATTGCCACTAAAAAAAAACATTAAAAGAGGAAAAGAAAAAGAAATGAAAATTCTCATGTGAAGTTTCTCACTACCTCCCATGGAAAATTCTGGTTCCAGAACCATCAAACAATAATTTGTAAACTTGCACACAGAATCTACCTTGACAACCAATATGAGACAAACAGAGCTCCATCCAAGGTACAACAGGAGGTAATAGGCAGTCCTATAATCTCTGTTTCAGCTATAGTGGCCCTTGATTTTACATATAAGGCTTCTATATAAATATACATAAAAATATTCCACAGGAAAAAAACTAAAAAAATCATTGATAGAATATCTTGTTGGCATTTATAAGTTAATGGATTTAAGGAAGAAGGGAGAAACTTCTTAAATATTGGACATCAAAGCAAACCCAATCATAAAATTTTCTAACAAATTAACAACATTCAAGTTGGTCTCTATTTTCTTCAACCCAGTCATACTGGGTGGAAGAGTGTCATGAGATTCAGAGGATTGATGAAAATAAAATTGAACTCAAAACTTTTATACGTTCAGCCAGGATTTTGTTTTTCCAGTGTGAATGCAATAGACATATATAAAGTGATGGGATTATTATTTTGTGGATGTATCCAAAAAATAATGAGTGATAGACTACTAGAAGAAATTACAAAAGGCAGTAGTATTTTTTTAATTGAAAAAAAAACAAAAAACAATCACATAGCTTAGCATGATCCGAAGAGAGGTTACAATAGTTATTACTCTAATTTCAAATGCTGAAACAATTACTGAAAAAAGTGACACACATAAAGGTCAATGAAAAAAAAGCACATATCACTATGATCTAAATCCCATCTAATTCCAAAAAATACTTAGATATTGTGAGTGGGATTATAAAGAAGTTAAATAATGTTTAATTCTCATGTAACACAGGAAACTACATATGCACAATCTCTTGTTTCTAATAAAGAAAAAAAATTATAAAATCATGCTAACAAAAAGGAGAATCTTTCAAAAAATAGAAGGCAGATCTATAGAGTAGAAGCAGAGTACAATGGGGAAGGGCAGGAAAGGGGAAGAACTGAGGGATGGAGTTGACTAAATTAGGCTCCGTGTATGTATAAATATATCACAATGAATTCCAATGTATATATGACTAGAATGCAGCACTTAAATGATAATAGAAGGAAGATCAAAAAAGTAGAAAGAGATCCTGAGGAGGGAAGAGAGGAGGGAGGGAGACAGCATTGAGGGTTGACACTGAGAAAAGTACATATGTATTTATAGATGTATCAAAATGAACCTCCCTATTGTGTATAACTAGAATGAATAGAAAGAAGAACTATTTGAAAAAGGCAGATAAAAAAATCTTAAAAGAATTGATATGATGAAAACAGCATGTACCTTTAAACATTAAAATTGAGAAACAAGGATAGGGGATACAGTCCAGTACTAGAGCTCTTGCCTATTTTACAGGAGGCCCTGGCTTCAATCCCCAACCCCACGGGGAAGAGAGTTAGAAAAAGAGAGAGAATTGTGAATAATGTGAATAAAGTAATTTGATAAAACATGGAATTTATGTAACAAAAAAAATTTACACGTATTTAAAGCGTTCCTTTAAAAAAATAAGCTCAGAGTGAATCTACAAATAAAAGCTAATTTATAAAGTCGCATTTATTAATCCTTTGTGTCTTAATGAATTTGAATTGTAATTAATAATAAATGCTTATATGCACTTAACTTGAGAACTTAAATAAATTAACTTATTTTATCCTCAGATGATCTTTCCTAATCAGCCTCATTTTATGTAATAAGAAAATCCTTGCCAAGAAAGTTGACGGATTTTACCAGGGAAATATTGTTGTTAAGGTTTAGACTTGAACTCAGGCAATCTGACTCCAGGACTCAGCAATTCTGGATATACTCTGGCTGCTTGATGTATTCTACAGCCCCCACATTATGGACAACATAAGAAACATATTTGTAAAAACCTCAAGTGATTTTTTTCCCTTTATTTTTTACTTATATCTGAAGGCATGGTCCAAGGTGCATGAGGGGGTCAAAGGAAAATTTGAGAATGGCTAACACTGAAGCACAGGCCATGACTGAGTCAAGCCCCTGTCTCCTGCATCACTGCTTCTCCTCATGGAAGACCAAGCTGCCTTAGCAAAAAGCCTGTGGAATCCTCAGCCTGTGGAATCAGTGCTAGAATATGGAATGTCACTGAACAGGCCTTCTCCCTGGGCCTTCGCATACGCCCTCCCTTCCTCACCATGAAGCCTTCTCAGCTAAGCCTTCTGGTCACTGGTTTTCTATTTCTTTAGTTCTCCTTCTCCTTCTCCTTCTCCTTCTTTTTTTTTTCCTCGACAACACTCATTTTATGTTGGGCCCATAAACTACTGGAATGTGGGTTCTTTGTCCTATACCCTAGGGTAGGCAAAGAGGGACAGAGACAGACTGACAGGCATGGCAAGAAGGCGTAAGGACTGCAGAGTGTAAACTCTACAAAATCCCTTTGCCAGTTTGGATGTTTGTATAAAAAGATTGTTTTATGTGAGTGTAATATATAGCTGCATTGTTTCAATTTCTAAAGAATGTATCAATATATTTTTTAGAGAGAGAGAGAGAGAGAGAATTTTTTAATATTTATTTTTTAGTTTTCGGCGGACACAACATCTTTGTTTGTATGTGGTGCTGAGGATCGAACCCAGGCCTCATGCATGCCAGGCAAGCGCACTACCGCTTGAGCCACATCCCCAGCCCTGTATCAATATATTTTATAAGTTACTGGTTGTCCACTATGAAGGTAGAATCATTTATTGGACAATAGATGTGAAGGAAGTCTCTGTGGATGTAGACATCCCTACAAAGAGTCACATAGTGAAGCTACATGAACAAACTGTTCATTCAAATTAGGCTTCTTTTACATAAATCAGCTTGCCACAGTACCCCCACATCAGCATCCCTAGTTCAGGAAATCAAACCCATGGCTTTGCACAGGCTAGGCAAGTATTTTATCACTGAGCTACATCCCTAGACCTTTCACAGACTTCTATAAGATTTGAAAATGAGACAGTGCTGCACTTGCTCCTATTTTTCAAATATGAGATATATAAATAGGCATGAGCACAGTATTCCAACAGTCATTCACATTCTTTTACTTACAGCCCTCATAGATGTCAGTGGGAATATGGACTGCTGCATGCTGATAGGATATTTGTCGTCCAAAATTAGCATCATCGATAAAAACAGGTTTAATCCTCTGGCTGCCTGGCTCACTATCATTTTTTTCAGGCTACAAAGGAAAAGATAGATAATAAATAATTTTATAATTTATGCTAACATAGATATTTTCATATTTACTTTTCATTTGGTAAATATTTATTCTACAAAACACAAAAGATCCACAAGAATATTTTTTAAAATATTTATTTTTTAGTTTTAGTTGGACACAATATCTTTATTTTATTTATTTATATGTTGTGATGTGGATCGAACCCAGGGCCTTGCACATGCTAAGCAAACACTCTACCACTGAGCCACAACCCCAGTCCCCACAAGAATATTTTTAAAGATAATTCCATGATGGCACTGGACACGCGAATTCCCTTTCAAGTATTAACATTCACATTGCAACAAATTCCCTGTATTTCTCCAATGTTGAAGTTATTTGGGAACCACTCAGACCTTTCTCACATAAGACATTAACATGCACATTTAAAGAAAAGGATAAGTCCCTTTAAATACAAGTATTAAAACCAACCACTTGAAATAAATTGCACAACTTATGGTACTAAATTTATATTGGTTACTTAAGGATAACTTGACTACAAACGGTACACATGACAGCAATCAGGCAGCAATGAAAGATTATTTTGTCACATTCCCTTGATCTTTTCATGTTTTCCATGTGTCTCAATTTTTGTGTTAAAGAAGAAAGTATATTGAGAAAGAAGTGTTTCACTATAAATCTAAACACAATTAAATCCTAACTTCTGCCAATTTGTTTCCTAAGCTAGGAATTCAGATACAATCAATAATGATTCAAGCAAATTCCACAGGAGATTAAAGTCTAAGATTAATTTTCCATCTGCTGGAACTATGCTGGTGAGGCAGAATTACCTTGTTGCCACCCAGACCCTTGGCAATAAACTAGAAATTTTATTCATTTACTGAAAATACATCTATAACTTTGTGTTCTATTTATAGTAAACACTATTTTTTTCAGTTGAAATAGTCATTTTTAACTCTTCCTTAACTGAATATTTTAAAAAGTAAATTTAGGCCTGTTTTTTAGTTCCTTTACTATGGAGACTGATTTCTATATGTCAAAGGTAATTACCTCAAAAACAATTAAAAAAAAATTCACAACACTTGACCATAATATATCACACAAAAATCCCATTTGACAGGCATACAGCAATACTAAACAATAGAGAAAATTGAAAGAAATAACCCGAAAATGTCCTAACATAGTTTGCAGAAAATGGAAAGTCAGTAGTTCTACAAAGATGTAATGGTGTCCAACTTTTCATATCATATTGAAAGTTTAAATGACAGATAACACATTAGAGTCCTCAAATATTTGAAAACACACCCATGTCATTTTTTCCTTGGAAAACTAAACTCTAGAAATACTAGACAAAATTATGAGCAATAGAGTGCTTTTTATTTTTACCAATAGCTTTTGAAGCTCCAGGTAGAACCTATCACTAGGTCATAAAGTCAATTGTCAGATGTGCTAAGTTATTTTTGTAAATGAAACACTGAAAGAGAATATGAGCAAATACTCATAAGAAGAATTTTATTTTATATCACTCCTGGAATGATGATCAATGTGAGTGCAGCATGCACACAAGAGCATATGGGATTTGTGTTGTAAAACCTATCATTGGTACAAATTGTGAAAACAGAATATTGCTTTTATACAGGTGGAAGCCACAAATACAAATAATTGTTCTCTCATTAACAAACTGAATTTACAAAGTAATAAGACTGAATTTGAAAGTCTAAAATTTTGCAAAATATCCACATTCAAGAATCACTAATTGCTAGGAGCAGTGTCTCATGCCTGTAATCCAACAGCTCAGGAAGCTACAGCAGGAGGATTGTGAGTTCAAAGCCAGCCTCCACAAAAGTGAGGCACTAAGTGACTCAGTGAGACCCTGTCTCTCTATAAAATACAAAATAAGGCTGGGGATATAGCTCAGTGGTCAAGGGCCCCTGAGTTCAATCCCTGGTAACAAAACAAACAAACAAAAAGAATTACTAATTCTTCTCTTTTCTAAACAGAGGTCAGCTCTGTACAGTACAAAGGAGAAGAAAGGAAAGACAACAAAACAAAGAAACAGAATAAAATAATGTGCTGCCTAACTTACATAACACAACAGCCTTGATACAATGATTAATAGATAAAAGGAGAGTGATACCTGAGATTCTTATTCTTGGATTCAATTATGTATTTTAAAACAGTTTAAAATGTATTCCATTTTGTATTCCTTGGAACTCTTGACTTGAATAATAAATAGAATGACACAATAAAACAAACCACCCACATTAATAACATAAACTCCAACTAATGAGTGATGGTACTATGTTTCCTTTATAAGCATTATTCTAAATTAGTGAAAAAGTCACAACACTTATTTTAAAGTGCTAGTTTCTCAATGCACAGCCACTGGGAAAGCATCTTTAGTATCCAATGAATTTTATAGAATGCAGATTCTCAGGGCCCAACCCAGACCTAGTCCATCTCAAGGAGCAAAAGAGGCACCCAGCAATCTGTATTTTAGCAAGACTTCAAGGTGATGCTGCTGCACACTAATATTTGAAGTCCAGTGCTTCAAGATATGAACCACTAAAACTAGGTACATGTGATTATTTAGAACTCCTCATGATATTATTATTTGGAATAAGCATAATAATAGATGCCTAAATTATATTAATTTCTTCTTGTACAGTTTCATTATTTGTGGATAATAGATGACTGCAAATAGTAATATGGCAAATAATATTTGTGAAAGTGCGTTTGTTTGTTAGTTTGTTTATTTGGTTCCAGGGGTGCTTAACCACTAAGCAACATCCCCAGCCCTTTTTTTATATTTTATTTTGAGACAGGGTCCCTTTGAGTTACTTAGTGTCTAGCTAAATTGCTGAGGCTCGCTTTGAACTTGCAATCTTCCTGCCTCACTTCCTGAACCGCTGTGATTACAGGTGTGCACCACCACAGCTGGCTCAAAGGGTGTTTCAAAAGACAAGTCTCTTGAATTTTTCCGAGGGATCAGCACCATCCTCAAATAAGCTGGGGAAGTTTTGCACATCATATTCTTCTATTAAGAGAATAATAAGCACATTAGTATATCCAAAGTTCTGAGGTATTCTGCACTAATGAAACTGTGTTTGACCTAATATTTTCAAGCTTATTTGACCCTCTCATTCTTTTTCTCTAATACCCATCATGAGGAACACACTTATGTGCAAAGGTACATTAGAACATAGAGTAACTAGAATCAACAAATGGGACTTACTCAAACTAAAAAGTTTTTTCTCAGCTAAAGAAACAATAAGAGAGGTAAATAGAGAGCCTACATCCTGGGAACAAATCTTTACTCCTCACACTTCAGATAGAGCCCTAATATCCAGAGTATACAAAGAACTCCAAAAATTAGACAATAAGAGAACAAACAACCCAATCAACAAATGGGCCAAGGACCTGAACAGACACTTCTCAGAGGAGGACATACAATCAATCAACAAGTACATGAAAAAATGCTCACCATCTCTAGCAGCCAGAGAAATGCAAATCAAAACCACCCTAAGATACCATCTCACTCCAGTAAGATTGGCAGCCATTATGAAGTCAAACAACAACAAGTGCTGGCGAGTATGTGGGGAAAAGGGTACACTTGTACATTGCTGGTGGGACTGCAAATTGGTGCAGCCAATTTGGAAAGCAGTATGGAGATTTCTTGGAAAGCTGGGAATGGAGCCACCATTTGACCCAGCTATTCCCCTTCTTGGTCTATTCCCTAAAGACCTAAAAAGAGCATGCTACAGGGACACTGCTACATCGATGTTCATAGCAGCTCAATTCACAATAGCAAGATTGTGGAACCAACCCAGATGCTCTTCAATAGACGAATGGATTAAAAAAATGTGGCATTTATACACAATGGAGTATTACTCTGAATTAAAAAATGACAAATCATAGAATTTGCAGGGAAATGGATGGCACTAGAGCAGATTATGCTAAGTGAAGCTAGCCAATCCCTAAAAAACAAATGCCAAATGTCTTCTTTGATATAAGGAGAGTAACTAAGAACAGAGTAGGGATGAAGAGCATGAGAAGAAGATTAACATTAAACAGAGATGAGAGGTGGGAGGGAAAGGGAGAGAAAAGGGAAATTGCATGGAAATGGAAGGAGACCCTCAGGGTTATACAAAAGAACATACAAGAGGAAATGAGGGGAAAGGGAAAAATAATACAAGGGGGAGAAACGAAGGTCAGTAGAGGGGGTAGAGAGAGAAGAGGGGAGGGGAGGGGAGGGGAGGGGGGATAGTAGAGGATAGGAAAGGTAGCAGAACACGACAGTCACTAGTATGGCAATATGTAAATCAATGGATGTGTAATTGATGTGATTCTGCAATCTGTATATGGGCTAAAAATGGGAGTTCATAACCCACTTGAAGCAAAGTGTGAAAGATGATATATCAAGAACTATGTAATGTTTTGAACAACCAACAATAAAAAAAAAAGAACATATAGACAACAGGAGATCTGTCTTCACTCTGCTACATTAACAAAATATTGGACTTGGATCAGTCACTGTTCCTGGTAGAATAAGTAGTTCTATCGGGCTATAGATAGATCCTTCACCTATGAGACTATCTGATACTTGGAAAGCATCTTCCCCAGCAATAAAGCTAATATATCAAAGGGGAAATGTCTTTTGAAAGACTCTTCCAGTTGATTCTAATGAACTCTTCTAACATAAATTGAATGCCCAAACTGAAGGATCCATAAAGTAATTTTCAGTTCTGAAAAATTATACTCTTATGTCTAGAGTTCTGGGAAATATATTATTTGCAAGAATATCTTCCCAAAAATCATATGTACATATATTTTTCATACATTCAGATACTTAGAATGTAAAAGGCTTATAAGATAGATAGTATATAAATAATACATTTATGAGTTAGTGTTAAAAAGGTAGATATGTGGCAAATATTTCATTCAGTCACTCACCCAGAAAATATTTATTGGGACAGAAGAGGAGAGTAAGATTTATCAATGTT